AAAATCTTAATTTATATTTAAAAATTAAAATCTCAATTTAAAATTTAAAAATTCAATTAGTTTTTAAATTTAAATATTAATATTTAATAATATAAAATTTTTAATTTTTAATTAATTTTTAATTAAATAAATTGACATATTTTAAGAATAGTACTCTAATTTTTTTTAAAAAAATCAAAACTAATATACATTTTATATATTAATATAATATTAATATATAAAATACATATATACACTTAAAGGAAAAAATTTACAAAAGTTTAGACAGAAAGTTCTTCACACCAAAGGTACGAGAGAATATATAAATAAGAATATCAATTTTTAATTTTTTTATTTAAAATTATTAATTTTTAAATTTTTATTAAAAGATAATAATTTTTAATATTTTAATTAAAAAATTATTTTATCACGTTAACATTATCATTTAAGTAATTTTTAAATAAAAAATAAAAATTGATGTTTTTTAATAAAAACATTAAAAATTAATATTTTTAAATAAAAAATAAAAAATTAATATCTTTATTTAAAAATTAATAAAATTAATACTTTTATCTACACATGTTCCATATTAGTTCCCTCTTAAATGCAGCCCCAATGTGAAAACTACACTGCCATAGTGGATCTTTCTTCGTTAGTGGGCGTGGTGACCTTCCATTTGGCTTCTCTTTTGGACTTTTCGATTATGCCAGTTATGCCTGATTGCTAACTTACCCTTACCCACGTGGGTTCACACCCACCGATTTTATTTTAGTTGACTTTTTAGTTTAAACCCCAAACTAACACGCATTTATTTCCTCACATGCCTCAACGTCTTTATTACACTCAAATTTTCACAAAATACAACTTTATTTACTATTAGTAGTCGTACGTGATTTTTTTTTAATTTAATCATAAATTTTGATTTTAAATCTTAATAATGTGATTTTATTAAAACTCATAAAAATTTTTTTGTCATTCATTAAGTCTTATTTGTATCGAATCTAAATTAATTAGTGACTCAATAAACTTTCGGATATAAAGTAGTTTATAAAAAAAATACTCTTTCTTCTCTTTTTTACCTGTCTAAATCTCTCATCTCTATATAATCTAAATTAATAATTTTTTATAATAAACAAAAAAAATTATATCTATATAAAAAAGTTTAATTATTATTTATTTATTATATAAAATTATTTAATCAAACTTTATATAAACATCATATTGAGATAATTAAGTCAAATTAAAAAGAGTGATAT